AATATACAGGGTAAAAAGTTATTAACTAAATTTTCGGTAAAATTGGTCGTAAGTGGCGCCCTCTATGACCAACGCTGAAATTACAACACGCATCTTATTCGTCGCCTAAAAAAATATAGTTTCACAAATTTTCAAGTTCCTAACCTACATATTTTCAGAATAATCGCAAAAAAAAACGATTTAAAATTTTAACTTTCAACAGCCTGTATTTCCGAAACTATCAACTTTCAGATAAGGCATGTTTGCGCCAATGGTCACCATTTCACGTGTAGTGTCTTCAGCTTTCGATTTTCCCATTGTTAATGAATCACCCTGTATAAGTGTACAGATTTTATCTTAATCATAAATATAAGCTTTTCAAAGAAATTATCTCTGAGAATTTAATCATGGTACTGGTAATGATGTATTATCCTGTAATTCGTTCAAAGATTTAAGTAAATAGTCTGATTAACTCTGATACAAAATATCTTTCTAGAAACATTTGGTGATGACGAGAGTTTGAAATTTTGTGGTTTCTTCATTAGAATTTGCAGGCAATTTATTAATATTGGTGCTATAAAAAGCTAGTATTTTAATAATATGAACTTTCAGGACTAGAATATTTAGTGTTGATATAGGTACCTTACCCTTTTTACAACATTCAAATGATGTTTATCGAACACATTCAGAGGAAGAAATAATACTTTGTAAATAATACTTTTCTTTTTGAATTTTTGCAAAAAAAAAAAACTGGAAAGAATCATTAAAAACTTAATTTGTCGCATTTTAAAATGAGTCTCTACCAGATATACTTAAGAATTTGTGAGAAATTATTAAATGTCTTATAACCAGTAGTTTCAATATTAATTTTTCAACGTTTCAACATGCAGAACCGGATATTTATTATAAATTATCAGAAACGAATTCTTGTCCCCGGTCCCCCAGAAATTAATTCCGTTTTTAATGAGAAAAAACTTGGTTGTTTTGGCTGGGCCCAAGAATGTCCCCGCAATTTTTTACGACGCTCACAACTGTCATAAATTACTATTACGAATCACCCAAACTATTAAAGACGGGATGTGATTTCCAAGTGGCACCTAAACAGTGGCGTATCGGGTTTCGGAGGGCCTCAAACTAATTGATCGTGAGTTATAGCCGGTATAAATCAAAATTAAAAAATGAGAGCGCAGTAAATAGGTTCGGATTCTGCAGATTCCGCCGTTAATTTCTGTACGAAACGTGCGAGTTAAAGGTCAGGAATGCCCTACTGGACGGCGAACTGCAGCGGCCTGCTTGTTTTTTCAAGGGTCATAAATTTCCAGAAATTTACGGTCATCCAATTATTTCGGGCCGTTGCTACTAGAGACCCAGACGGGGCCGGCGTGTTTTTTAAACGTGCGAAAAAGTGGCAAATTCGAAATGCGGAGGCATTAATATTATCAAAGTGCAGATTTTTACGAGCGCGAATCTATTTCACGAACATTTTTTCCAATGTGGGTGAGATATAACCAACAAAATACAGGATTCTGTAAATTTGCTTGTTGGGTGTCCAGAAATTAAGCCGACAAACGAAGACAGCATATTCTAGGGATGATTTCATATCAACTTGACATAAATTGTCTTATCTANGCAATTTTTTACGACGCTCACAACTGTCATAAATTACTATTACGAATCACCCAAACTATTAAAGACGGGATGTGATTTCCAAGTGGCACCTAAACAGTGGCGTATCGGGTTTCGGAGGGCCTCAAACTAATTGATCGTGAGTTATAGCCGGTATAAATCAAAATTAAAAAATGAGAGCGCAGTAAATAGGTTCGGATTCTGCAGATTCCGCCGTTAATTTCTGTACGAAACGTGCGAGTTAAAGGTCAGGAATGCCCTACTGGACGGCGAACTGCAGCGGCCTGCTTGTTTTTTCAAGGGTCATAAATTTCCAGAAATTTACGGTCATCCAATTATTTCGGGCCGTTGCTACTAGAGACCCAGACGGGGCCGGCGTGTTTTTTAAACGTGCGAAAAAGTGGCAAATTCGAAATGCGGAGGCATTAATATTATCAAAGTGCAGATTTTTACGAGCGCGAATCTATTTCACGAACATTTTTTCCAATGTGGGTGAGATATAACCAACAAAATACAGGATTCTGTAAA